ATTCTGCTTTGCGCCGAAGTACGTGCCCGGCGACACGAGCGAGTCGCGCGGCGGCGGGGTCTTGTCCAACGCGCGCCGGTCCATGGGCCTCCCGAGTCCGATCGCCGACTCAAAAACGCTCGGCTCGTGCGAGGGGCGCCTGTGGTGCTCCTCCTGCCGCAGCTCAGAGGCCTCCAGGCGCTCCAAGCGCTCCGCGACGCCCATGAGGAGGCCCAGCGACTTCTCCTGCGGGTCATCCGACTTGGGCGGATCTTTGACTGCCTCAGTACCCCCGTACTGGCCGTCGTCGTCATCCTTGGCGACCTTGGCCTTCGGGGTTGTCGGAGCGGAGCTCCCGCCGACCTTGTGCGTTGTTCTTGAGCTCATAACCTGATAGCAGGTAATGCAGTGTTGGTCAGCTTGTATATTGAGAAGTGAGAGAAGATTTCTAGCTACTCGTGGCACCTTACCTGTTCATCTCACAGCCAACCGTGCTGTCCCGGACTCACCATCCAGGTGGAGCGGCGGCCAAAAACGGTCACTGAACCGCGGTTACACGTGGGGTACATATGGGCTGCGTGTGGGCTACATGCAAGCCGCACCTGGGTTCCTGGCGCATTTCCAACATGGGGTGGAGCAGCAGTGGAAAATCCTTACACTGCGTCCGTGGATGGTTCCGAATCCTAAGCGAATATTCGAGCTTATGGATCCGGGGCCTAGATCGTGGATCTGGCCGTAGGGTTGCCTTGCGGGTGTGTTCCCTTGCCTTTGTAGTTCCTTTGCGTCGTACTTGCCGCCTCCTGTGACGGGATCTTGAAAGTTGAGAACCTCTAGGGTGTGGCCGATCAAGTAGTAAATTCGGTTAACCTGTCGGATCTGCACAAGTAAAGGAAAAGCTCACTAGGTTGTAGGATCTGGCCAATGTATTATCCAGTTATCACTACCAACACTAAATTCGCAATTCCCAACCTTCTCGGAGCTCGTACGGCCAATGTAGCTCCGGTTCTTGAGGGCAGAAAGGCACTTGCGTGTTACTGTGCAAATCGAGGACTGTATTGATATTTAAGCCTATACCTGCCTGGATTTCTGCCTTCTATGTCTTTCATCTGCTAAATCCCTTACCAGGCTCGGCTGCATGTCCCTTCTTCCCTTGACCCATCATCCCAGCTGTATTATCTTCAGATCCACCGGATCCATGACGTAATCATCATGGTCACCCTATTATGGGTACACTCATCCGGATCCAGGTCGCTTGGATCCACTTCACTGTAAGTTTGCACTCGTCGTCGATCTGAGCTCTCCCATCATCCAACATCATCTCGCAACCGTCTGTGATCTCCATTGTCCCACGAAAGTTCGAGATCCACTGTATCCATCATCCCTATACCCTGGATCCAGGTCCCTCCAGGCGGGATCCTCCCTCCTTGGATCCGAACTCGGAAGTATGGAATCCGGGGTACCTCGCGGTGGATCTTGACTCTTCATTAGCCGTGGCTACTAGATCCACCTTCAGAGGGCACCGACCATCCTTCCTTCATAGGATCCACGCTCGATCCACTCTTGTATAGTATATCCCATATCCATCTTAGTGAATCCAGGTAAGGGTGGATCCGAGGTAAGTCTTGGTGGATCTTGCCTTCTCGTACGTCGCTCATATCAGATCCATCGTCATTCCATACGGGGTGCTGCTCGCCATGGCTAATCCACCACAGGCAACTTGCATCCGTGCCAGCCAACCCAAATCCTCTCTAATCACTTGGAATTGTCATTGATTCGGGATAGTGACCCCGCGTCAGGCCCATTCTCTTATTTCTGAGAAAGCACTTTACCACAGACTTATCCTACGATAATTTGCTAATGAACTTTATTATCAGCTCAAGCCTTGACTATGCCTCAGACTGTGGATTCGCAGGCTTGGCCATCCAACACTGTTTGTGTCCCTCGTCCACGAAGATCTCGTCGTCGATGCGGCTGTAGCCGCACTTTTCGTAGAATCCTGTCTTGTCGACCAGCGCTGGCAGGATGAATAGGTCTACGCGGTCGCGGATGTAGCCCTCCAAGGCGTTCATCACCACTGTGCCGTAACGCTTGCCACGACACTCAGACAACACTGCTACGCGACTGATCTTGGCTATGCGCTTGACGTCATCGACCAGCACACGTGCAGCCACCACCGCCTTGTTCTGCTCCACGTCTGTACCGATGAAGTGCAGAGCAGACGGATGGTCGTCATCTGCATCGAATTCGCCTTCCTCCTCGAAGGTGTCTTCGCGGATAAAAACTTGCATACGGATGGCACGGGCCTTCGCCCAGTCCTCGGGGGTCTTCACACAGGTCACCAGCAATGTCATTGCTTAGAGTAGAGTCGGGATGCCATGTCTACGGTAGATTTGGAAATGACAAGTACGTGGCTCGGAGTTCATTTGCTGGTCAACAGCAACAATCATGAAGCGACGTACAATTTTGGCTTCCTGATAGAAAGTGTCGATACCCTCGATAAGTAAATGACTACCTGGACAGCAATGATGCTCATCAAAACAATGAGCTGATGAGTCACCTGACTTTCAGTTCACGCCACTCAATTGTTACACTCTTCATGATTGCAGCGATATGGATGAATATACACGTCTTTCCGACAGATAGTTAGGTAGGATTGTGATCAGGTTAGGAGTTGTCAAATTTACGCCAATTGAATGTCTTCATTTTCATCTTTTGGCCAATGGCATCCCATGTGGGTAGGTCTCTTATTCCGACAGCTTCCGACAATTATTTGTCGGAAGCGCAGCCAAAATATTTATGGCTGGATACAAATACTCAGTAAAAAAAGTATTTTTGAAATATTCTTGTCATTCCGACAACAAGGTCCTCCAGTAGGATTCCTACTTCGAAGGAGCAAGTATTCAAGTACGTGTTTAGAAAAATGATAAAATAACATGCCTCAACAAAAACTATTGGTAAGCTTAGATACACATGTACATGTACTGCATTTGTTTTATTAAAATAGCGTCTTTGCTAACCTCTCATTGAAATTCTAGAGGCCTGGGTGTATGCAGTATTGTTGCGTGGTCAGGACCACCAGTCACCAAGCAGCAGAAGAAGGCCACGCTAACCAACGTGATGTCTACGACCAACGCACCAGTACGGGCAACAAGCCTACGCCGGGTATTTCTAGTACATTTACTTGAGAGTCCACCTCCACTGCCTTCACCTCGGCATCTTCCACAGTCTCGGACACCGCCTCCATGGCCTCGGTCGCCGCTACAATAGCCACGCCCACCAGCTTCATGCTCGTCTACACCGCCACGGCCTCAGAAATGGCACTGCGCGTTTCCTATTCCACCTCTTCCGCCAGCTTGTCTCGCTTCGCTGAATCTCACCGGGAAGCTGCCACTCGCGACACCGCTGCACACGCTGGAGTAGTCGAGACGCTTAGGGAGAACCATGCTTACATTCTGCAAATTCAGCCGAGCTCTGCTCACCCAACGCAGAAGCGTCATCATAGACCAGCGACACAGCCTGCCTTGTCTCCACTGGAGCGGTCTTGTTCACGAACTCCTTCGTGGCACGAAGCTCGTGCGTAGGTCCAGACTTCAACGCCGCCGCGAGTTTCGCCAAAAGATGCGCCACCTCCACGCGCTGCGCCGCATCCCGCGTTCGTGAAATCATAGAACGACGCCGCCGAGTACACCTGCTGCAGACACGTCCGATCCAATCGACGCCAGCGCCGACACAAAAAAAATTCGTCACGCTCGCCGTGCTAGCACCATCGCGCGTCTCCACGTCGGCCTGCACGCCGTCAAACACTATCGTACTCATTGACTCATGTCACGCCCGTAAACATCCACGCCCAGTACTCCAACCACACTATCACTCTGTAGGGCGCGCACCGAGTGTGCATACAAGTTGGGCATCAACACCTGCTCCGTCTCGTCCTCCGGTGTCCCCTCCAGGATCACCCGCTCTACACTCGATTACACGCCACCAGCACGCCTCCCTGTTGCCGCTACCCTTCACGCTCGCTCGCCCGCCGCCGTATATGTCGCCGCTCCGCGCTCTCACCTGCCACCAGCACGCCGCCCTTCCGCTGCTGTCCTTCACACCCGCTCACCCGCCACCAGTGCCACCGTCGCCGCCGTATCCGCCGCCCTCCGCACTAGCTCACCCATCAACCGGATGACGCACTGGCGCCGTCGAACGATCCTTCGCTGCCACCGCTATGCCACTCTTTTTAAATTAAAGGTTTTTTAGATAAAGTATAACGTTAGATTTAATAAGAGATATTTGTTTATTAGTATATGTGGTGTCTGGTACCTGAATCTGTCTGTTGTTCCGAGCTGTCGGAAACATGTCGGAAAGGGGTAGGGTGTCGGAACGGTTGCGATATGGTACGTGTTACGAAGTGCATGAGGACATACCATTTTTATTTACCTCTGTACTCCTTCCTCAGATCCACTTACCAATGGTGGGGATCATTTTGTGTATGTTAAGGTACTAAATCTCACCTTTTTCTGTGTAAACGTATGTCCTTCTATTAAGGTGCACCTGCTTTATTAAATTAATTCCAGAAAACAGAAATACATGCCGTCATAAAAAATAAATCATCAAATACGTTTTCCATCTTCCAATCTTGTTAAGAAGGTAAGAAACCAAACGCTCTTTGAACCGTCATTCGTCGACTGACACAATAGCCTTCACATCTAAAAGATGGAGTTCGCTTTGGAGCCCGAGTCCACCGAGTCCCTGCAGGCCACACTCGCTTTCATCGACGAAACTCTAGGCGACACGAGCCCCGTCCAGTTGCATTCGCCCATCACCCACGCGCAGTCGACCGACAGCGACGACTGGGAGACATCCCACCTGCTCGACGACTTCCTGACCGACATCTCCTCAGACGCGTCCTCACCTCGCGTTGCAGCAGATGTCGCCCTCATCCCAGTGCAGACACCTCCTGTAACGGGCCTGGGGTGTCCGTTACTTGCTTACACGTAGTGTTGAGGAAGCGTACAAGTTCAGTGATACTGAAACCAAGTACTTAGTCTGAAGGAAAATCAATGCTGTTTTTATTTAGGACCAGGGCAGCTTGCCCTGACCACTCAAATACACGTCAACTCCTTATTGGTTGATTATGGGTCTGGCTCCCCATATTTCAACCAATAAGGTGAAGGCAGTTCAGCACACGCTACTCGTGTGCTGCTGCACCTACTTTTGTAATGCAAATCTACCTACTTATGTAATGGTGTGAACCACTACAAAGAGCCTATAAAACTACCTACATATGCAACTTGGGAGAGCCCATTACATCACCCCCTCTTAAGACAGCAATCACCTAACGGGGGTGCGCTTCGGAGAACAATCGGGAAAACTGGGAAATGGCGGAGAAGAGAACGCTTGAGAACTTGACGGGCGGGAGCTCCTGCGAAGCCCAGGAGCAGCACAATACAACTTGCGCGGACGAGAACAACATGGCGCAGCAGACGGGGGCGGCGAACCAGGCAGGAAGCGGAACAACGCGGACGGCTCCAGCGTCGGCGACGACGCTGAACAATGGGTGGACCGCTGATATCGCACCTGAGAGCGTGAGTCGACTTGGGGTTCGGCCCGGCGTAATGAACGAGGATATGAAGCCGTGGGCGCTGTACGACTTGTCCGGGGCGGTGTCCCCGGACGCGTTGGACACCATGCAGGGACACTTTCGGCGCTTCAGGCGTCTCCGGAACAAAACACTCGACGGCGCGACGTACGAAGCTTTGCAGAGATCATGGTGCGCATTCATCCGACGGTGGAATCGGATGCATGAGGCTGGAGAAAGTGTCGTCGGCTGGCTCGGTGATCGCGAAGCCTTACAAGCCGAGCATTTACTCGGTGATCTGCGCCTAAAAGTCTGCGACGACGCTTGGACCGAAGACCGTTTGTGCTATGTCAACGTACGCGAAGGTTGCAGTTCGTGTGACATCGGGCGACGCCCGACGCAAGCTGAGTGGGATCAGCATATTGTCGAGTATCCGCTCATGCCGACCGAACACGCTTGGATCGAGAAGTATAAGCGCTCACTCTCCGAGTTCACCCAAGCGGCTATTCGCGGCGGCTCGCGCCGACAGCGTTCGCGACGGAGTCCGTCTCCTGCGCATTCGACGTCTCGAAGGGCACGTAGTCGATCGCGTTCTCGATCGCCGCGAGGTCGCTCGCGGACGCGTTTGACTCGAGGCTGGAGTCGTAGTCGTGGACGACATCAGGAACGTCACGAAGCAAGTTGGCGCGAGGCTCCCACGTATCATCAGCAGGTTGAAACCCGAGCCATCGTACCTTATACTTCCGCGCGGCGGGAGCCGCGTGTTGAGCTGACGACTTGGTCGAGTGACGCGCGCGGGGAGGATCTTCGTGATCAACAATACGGTCCACAATCCAGCACGTATCTCCATTCGAGTCAACGATGGGCGGAGGACCATCGCGGTGGAATTCGACGCGACCTGGTTGACCAGGACGACGTTGAGCAGGCGCTGAACACTTCTCGGGACGCACAGGAGGAGGCCGAGCGGGCGGCTGAGAGCTCTCGGAACGCCGAGGCGACGGCGAGTAGTCTGCGGCGAGTTCACGTCGGCCTCCCACGTCGGACGCGAGCTGCTTGGGCTACGAGAGCTGGTGCGCGAGCTGCACCACGTGGTCTCCGAGCCCATGCACATGCACATGGACAACCAGGCCGCCATCAAGCAGTTAAAGTCCGAGGATAGCATGGCGAGCGCCAAGCACGTCGACATCCGGATCAAGTTCATATGCGACTACACACGGAAGGGCATCGTGGAGCCCACGTACGTCGAGTCGCGCCTGATGACAGCGGATCTCCTGACCAAGTCCTTCCCGGCGCCCAGGATGGCGGAGCTGCGCCAGATTGTCAAGCTGAAGTAGGCGACGGCCGAGGAGGAGTGTTGGAAATGCGCCAGGAACCCAGGTGCGGCTTGCATGTAACCCACACGCAGCCCATATGTACCCCACGTGTAACCGCGGTTCAGTGACCGTTTTCGGCCGCCGCTCCACCTGGATGGTGAGTCCGGGACAGCACGGTTGGCTGTGAGATGAACAGGTAAGGTGCCACGAGTAGCTAGAAATCTTCTCTCACTTCTCAATATACAAGCTGACCAACACTGCATTACCTGCTATCACCCCATCCCCACGTCTCGCCAAGACGCTCAAGCTTCACCACTTGAACTCTTCGGAAGTTACCGAGAGAGCAAGATCCCGCCCTACCGACGGGTACACAAGGTGAGGAAAGTTCAGCAGAACACGGATCATCGGGGGACCCCCTCCGTTAGTCGGTGTCTGGGTGCAGTTGGTAAGCTGGATCCGGCAATCTCGCAGATTTTGCTGATCCCGCTACACCACAATGGTGCGCGTGCCCGGATCTTTTGGTGACTCGGGATTTCACCGTGAGTCCCAAGAAGATGCTCAAGTGAAGATTGAGCCAGGGGAAGAGGCGTCGTCGGAGGTCGGATCGACGATGACGCTGCTGAATGAAACAAGATCCGCGGATCGATGGAGTTTTGGGAGGAGCTCTGTCGACGGAAGAGAGGTGGATCCGGATCCGGATCTAGAAGAGAAACCTCTCTATCCTCCCCAGGTCCCCTCGGGGGGACCCCTGCGGATCTTGACGCAAGTCAAGATCCGCTAACAAAACAAGGGAAAGTGAAGGCGAAGCGGTATGCATTTGCAGATTCACCGGTTAAGCCAACATCGTACCTAAACCCAAGCCCGCTAGTCGAAGAAACGAGAAAGAAGACGAAGATGAGTAAGACTACGCGGAAGAAGATGCAAGCTCCAGAGTCGGAAGAAGACCAAGCTGGATCCAGGTCAAGCTGGTCCGACAAGGATCTCGAGTTTGTGTATCGCCACCAAGCTTTACGCGACTTCCTGCATCAAGACCCTGTCATGCAGATCCTGAATCCACGACAGATCGAAGATCCAAGGGAACCGGTGAGAGCACCAACGAAAACGGCGAACAAGTTGGTGGCAGTCAAGGATCTATTACGTTTGCTTACAGAGTCAGGCATCGTAGCTGGTGTGTTCGACGCAGAGGATATCTTCGGGCTAGATCTGGATCTCATAGCATCCGCGACGCAGGACCTCTTTGCCAGAGTTAAGGCCATCACCGGAGAAAGGTCGCGCACTATGGATCCAGTGTCATCGCCGAGGATCAGCCAAGCTGCGTCCTCGAACTACGAATCCGCCGCTGAGGATGAGTCAGACACGTCGTCCGAACCACGACGCATGACTTTAGGACCCTCCGGGGCATCCATGCTGGAAGCGCGGGCGAGGGTCCGAAGACAGGAAGCTCCTGTGAACGTGAAGGCTCGGGATCCAGTAGGCCCTACGCGTGATCTGACACAATCCATCCAGGATCGAGCCAGATCCGGCAAGAAGCCAGTGGGATTATCGTCAGATCAGGCTCGAGGTAATCACCTCACGGACCCTGTCTCGCCAGTGGACCAGACGGCCGCAGGCTCTTCCGACACTTCCTCGGGCACCCTGCAGCAGCACTTCGAAGCTGCGATGAGTCGTTTCCTGGCCGAACAGGGTATGAGAGCGCCCGTGCCACAAGTGCAAGTGCTCCACGAACATGGAGCACGATACGTGGAAATGGAGTCAGTGGAGGCAGACAACTTCCATGATGAGTTCGACCCAGATGATCTGGATGGCCCATCCACTTCGTCAGCAGTGGTAGCAACAGCCACAGCCGGGGCAGATGGATCGTCCATGATCCAGAGGGCACGGATCTCAGCCATATCGGACCTGAAGGAGTTCACGGGCAAGGATCGAGATGAGGACCGAGCGAGAACATGGATCAGCAAAGTCAAGTCGGCCCTCATGAGAGATCAAGCGTCGGACGCTGAGAAGTGTTTGACCTTTGCGGATCTGCTAGCGGGGCCAGCCAGGAACTGGTATCGGCAGCTGGGCAGATCCACCAGGAACAAGTGGCCGGATTTGCTGCGCAGCTTCCAGACCCAGTACTGTAAATTGGGAGTGTCGGTGGCACGACAATACTACCATGATCGCCGCAGATCGGATGAATCCCCGCTGGAATACCTACATCGACTAAATGTGGCCGGTCTACGGGCCAAGTTGAAATCAAGGATGGGGGATCCAAGGTACTGCGGGAACACGTGGATCACTTCATCGAGACGTTGGGAGATGTGGATCTGGCCGACAGGCTGACCCTGTTACGTCTTCCAGACGCAGATGAGCTTGAGGAAGTGCTGCGGGCGGTGGATCGCGCGAAACACCGCCAGAAGAAGGCGGCGGTCGGATCCGGCAAGTATCGCCAAAAGGCTCCGACGCCCCCGGCCCCAGCTCGACGTGTCCACCGAGTCACGGCGCCTGACTCAAGAACTGAGTCAGGATCCGACGGCTCGGACTCCGACCCTGAAGATTACCGTCGAGTCTGTCTCACTGCGTCCAACGATCGAACGGCGAAGACCGGAGACAACTCTCGACCGAGGGATACCGTACCCGGGGACCGTGGGATGTACAGATCCCGAGATCTCATGGACGGGACAGCCCAGGTCAGGTGTTCGCAGTGCAGATCCCGGAAGCACACTGAATCTGATTGCTGGAAACATCTGGTCTGTGAGAAGTGTGGCAAGAAAGGTCATCCCGGAGATCATTGCTTCTACGTGTGTCGCGGGTGTGGCGAGATTCACGACGTCGGCAAGTGCCCGATGGAAGAATTCTACAACCAGATCCGCCAATGGTTTGATCCAGCCAAGCACAGAGGGATGTTGCCAGAAGTGGCCGAGAAGATGTTAAACTAGGACGCTCTCCGGGTTTGAATCCGGTACGAGCCGAGCGTTCTAGGTATTGCATACAGCTTCGTCAGTCGTCCACTGTGAGCAGGTAGAAAGTCGAGCTTTGCTGGCCTGCCGCCAAGCAGCGGTGGACAGCCCAGATGAGTGTGAGTATGCTTCCGAGTCCGTGAGGGCTCCCGTGTGTGTGGTAGCGCG